CAGCCCCGAGCCGGGGTCACGACGTCGCACCTCCACACTTGTCCACCGCACCATGTGAGGCCAGAGGAGCGGGAGCTGCTGTGTGCAGCCTCAACTCGCTGTGTGCCCCTGTCCCCACAGCAGAGTGCCCGAGACATGCCCTGAAGGCACGCTCTGATCCCAGGGCACCTCCTGCCTCCATCGGTGTCTCAGCGTGAGCTCCAGGGGTGGTTTTTCACCTTCACCCCGTGTGTGGCACTGAAACTCCCTGGGCTTAGCTCTTGCCTCTTGTGTGGCACTGAAACCTCCTAGGTTTAGTTTTTACCCATGTAAGGCACCAAACCCCCCTGGTTTTAGCTCTTACCCCATGTGTGGCACCAGTCCCCCCTGGATTTAGCTCTTACCCATATGTGGCACCAAAGCCCCCTGGTTTTATCTCTTACCCATGTCTGGAACCAAAGCCCCCTGGTTTTACCTAGGCAGATAGATACACTACACATGAGAGAAGCATTTTGCTGTGAGTATGGACAGTTTTTAACTGGACCAAGCATACAGGTAACAGCACCCTAAAATTACCATGAAAATTATGGTAGAGAAAGAGTCAGTCATTATCTTGATGGTTGCCAGTCACCCTTCTTACTAGAAAGCATCCCAGTTTGGGGCTTTTTCAGTTCAAATGCAACATTAATTTTTTCCTTAGTTCATCCCATGCTGATAACTCCTGTTACAGTCTCAAGGAGCTTAAAGCAGGTTCAGCCCAAAGCTCAACAGAAATCAGACTGATTGTGTTTATAACAACTTCAAGGTGCCATGAAAAAGAAAATTAACTTTGAGTAGGAAGGAAGAAGGCATTGCAGCTCCATTTTTTGATGTTTAGCTGTTTCTCCAGGTCTCTGGATGCAGCAGGGTGTTGACTTGGTGTCTGTTTTACCTTTCAGAAGTCACCACAGTGACCGTAGCCAACGTTGGTGCCTCTGCAGACAACGTTTTCACCACGTCCGTGGCAAACGCAGCTTCAATTTCAGGCCACGTGCTGGTAAGTCTGCCCTCTCTCTGAGGGCCTTGGCAAGGTCCCATCTACTTTTTTAGAGGAAATGAAGAGCTTGGTTTGTTTTCTAGCTGTAGGAAGGTCAAAGATAAGTTTTCATTGCAGTACACAGGCTTTAAACCACAAAACCATTAGTGGGGGGTTGTAGAGTTTTTTCTTTATTACTTGGAGAGTTGTTTTTTTTTTATCTTTCCACCCCAATATACTCATCCTGTACTAGAACTGATGAGCTGTAACATGTAAACTTTGGGTTTGCTTGGCTGAAACCTCAAAACCTGCTCAAACAACTGCCACACTGATTGGTGGGTTAGGGTAGCTGGGGGAAGGTTAAGGGGGAATTGGTGTTTTAACTCTCTCAATTTAAACTCTTTATTTCTTTTGTAGTCTGGGAGAACAGCCCTCCAGATTGGGGACAGCTTGAATCCTGAGAAAGCCACTCTCATAGTGGTTCACACAGATGGCAGCATTGTAGAAACCACGGGGCTGAAGGGCCCAGCAGCACCTCTCACACCAGGTATAAAGAATCTGTTCCTGACGTGTCTTTCTCCCCGAGGGGTTGCTGCTTCTCCCTTTTAATTGTGTTTTGTAGGGCTATATTTTTTTTCTAGGACTAATATTATGTTCCCAATGTTATGCAGCTGCCCTGTGAGGCTTGTTTGCCCCCTCTTCACACAGGACTTCTTGTATTCCTTGGGAGCAGAGGAACATTTACCTTTTTTATTCCTCTCAGAAATTTATTTAGTTTTTTTTTTATTCTTTGCCTTAACCCTTGCAAAATAAGCTGCTTGAAGAGCATTGCCCTGCTGCTGGGCTGCCACACACCTCTCTATACCTGTACAGCCATCCCCCCCTCAATTTTAACATTGATAATAAAAATGGGTGGCCTCGTTCTGCAGGTGGGCTCTTTTGGAAGGCTCGATGGTTGCAGTTTGATCT